CGAAGATGCGTTCAACAATCGTCCCCGACGGAACGGGTGCGAACAACGCATTCGATCAATGTGCAACGCGCAGCGCAGCGTCGCGCTCAGCATCGGGAACCCGACGGTCGACGTAGCGCGGGACAGGAAATGGGGCAGCGAGGTCGAGAGGGAAGAGCGGGCTGACCCAATGCAAGGATCAACCAGCAACGCGGGAACAGCGCTCGTAGCGACGCTGATCGCCGGGCCCCCCGCGACAACCAAGAAGACAAAGTCTAGGCCGATAGCGAAATGGAGCCGAAGTCCAGACACCTCGGCACACGGCCCCCCGGGCCGCAACGCACACAGACGCCGAAAAAGCTGGACAAACTCCACGCGCTCGCGCGCGAAACGCTGGAAGCCAAACTGCAGGAGGGAAGGGGCGGGGAAGGCCATCCAGCGCTCTTCTGGGAAGCTCACCAGCCACCGCGCCAGATTGCCCCGCTTTTCTCAGAGCGCGAGTGAGATGGGCTTGCGTCGCAGACGCGTGGTCGCCAGGGCAGCTGTGCGCGGCGGGGGGGGCGCCTCCAGAAACGCTTCTCCGCTGTAGGACAAACGCGAGCTCGCGTGCCATCCGCGGACTAGCCGGCCAGGAGTGGTCAAGAATCTGCGGCAGCTCAATTTTTGGAACCGTCGCTAGGCCTGGGGCGCCTGAACCGCGCGATGCGCCGACGCTCGCGCCGCGCGGCAAATTGAGACGCACTGCGCGCTGCAGCCTGCGCCCCGAGGACTGCGCATCATCTTGCAAAGGAAGCTGTGCCGAAGACCAGCGCGAATGATCTGCGACGCTCTACCCTCAGGTTGGAGGGGGCGAGGGGCGGGGCGACAGCACTGGGGCGCGTGGCCAAGCACAGCGACGGCCCATATATCGTAGACAGCAGTCGAATCAGCTCGGCCAGCGCCCGCGAAGCGAATCCTACGCGCGCGAGGGCGGGCGCTTGTCGCGCCGCGCCGGGGGGCGATCGAGGCGAGCATCGGGCCCCGCGCGCCGCGCCCGGCAGCCGCGCCAAGTCGCCGCAGAGAACCGCTTGCATCCACCGCCCAGATTCCTAAGGGACGCATGGGGAGAATTCAAGCCCAAAGGCCCAAAGACAAGTGCGATGCTTTTCTTCCGAAGTGCAACTCCAACCCGATAGCGTCGGCGAGCAAGCGCAGCTAACCAAAGATCGGGCCCAGGTCGGCGAGCAAGTTGTTTGGGGGGAACCTCAGGTAGTCTGCGCGGCTTGAACAGCTGAGCCTGACGAGGCCTGTTGCAACTAACCGACGACGCACTGGGTCCGGAGCCGGGGCGAACAGGGGCGCGGGCGCTGGGCGACCCTGGCGGGCCTCGCGACCCACCGCAAATCATGCTATAGACGCGCCGCAACGAGGAACCAGAGCAACGTTGTCCTGGCGCAGTTCCCCTTCCTCCGCTCTGGCGCGGCGCCCCGGTGCCCCTTGGCGACGTCATTTCGCGCGCGACAGCGCGACGTGGGGCGCGGATTTCTACGAGGACATTGCCATCTAAATTGAACCACAACAGCGATGGCTCCATGCTGCTCCCAGGCAATGTCTGTTGCACGGCAAAAGGGGGAAGGGGGGGGCAAGGGCCGACGGCGGCGATCGCGCGGGCGGCAGCGGGGCGGGCCGGCGGATGGGGGGCTGGGCGGAAACAGCAGGCAGGGGGCAGAAGGGAAGGGGGGGAGACGAATAATAAGATGAGAGGCGAGGCAGCCGCGAGCAGCCAAGGCAGGGAGTAGACGGAGAAGGCAACAACAAAAAGGACGGGGATAACGAATCCGCTGGGGTGGCAACCGCGAGCAGACAGGCCGGGCCAGGGGCCGCGAGAGAAGAGCCACCCGCGACAAAGCCGCAGACCCTGCGGCGGCGACCTGGGCGGGGTGGCCGACCGAGCCCAGCGCGCCACGGCTTGGCGGGGAAAGCCGTCTGCGGGGTCGCCCGCCCCCCTGCCGGGGAAGGGCCGCGCGGCGCGCGCGAGGGGTCGCCAGCGCGAAATTGGCGCGAAAGCGCGGGTCGGCATAGACGCGTCGATCGCCTCAATCCTGTCCGCCAGAATGTCACGGGGCCCATTCGCTTCGGCGGCCCAACCTGGGGTCGGAGGAAGACCATCAGAGAGACGAGGTTTCGGGGAATAGTGATCATCGCCAGAACATGATCGGGCGGGTTCTTCATGGGCATTCCGACAGTTGGACGACAAGATCCATCAATGCCGCCGGGGAACGTCGACGCGCGCTCGACCGGGACGGGCAGTCGAGACAGACATGGGACCCTGGCGAGCTCGGCGAGCACCCTGTGCCTGAGAGAGTTCCGACCAACCGCCAGGGGCAGCATTCCACCCGCGAGTGAAGGCGGAGTCGCCTCTTCTAGATCACTCCGCGTCAGGATTTAGCAGCTCGACTTCGCCGAAGACAAAGCGGAACTCACTCAGGGCAAAGTGCACGGCAGAGGAAGCGGGAAGCAGAGCCGAGCGGATGACAGGGAG